GGCCAATCCACAAGCACTCCCTAGACAAATGCCACGTGAGGGCCAATCCACAAGCACTCCCTAGACAAATGCCACGTGAGGGCCAATCCACAAGCACTCCCTAGACAAATGCCACGTGAGGGCCAATACACAAGCACTCCCTAGATAAACGCCACGTGAGGGCCAATCCACAAGCACTCCCTAGACAAACGCCAAGACTTCCAAAGGCTAGCCCTGAAAAAGTCCCCGTGTATTTCACAGCAGTCGCACAAGCTGTTCTCATCTCTTAAATTAATCACAGCAGTAAAGTAAAACAAAACAAAAATAATGTTTTAAACATACTTTTTGTGTGCCTGTACAAAAAAGTATGGAAATGCTAGCAACGGACAAGAAGCATGATGTCAAAACAATACAACAAATCTTCAACCAGCCAACCACCACCAAGGTGCAGAATTCTTCAGTTTTAGTAAAAGTTTTACGGCACTTGCAACACAGTAAGGTCATATGAGGGTTGAAGATTAGAAGTGTTACAAGGGAGTAACAAACACAAAAAAGGAGGAGAGATAAAGATGATAGTTGTTAGAGAGGAAAGAAGGAGCAAACCACACCAGCCAGAGCACCCACCAACCACCCACCACCAAGGTGCAGAATTCTACATCAAACAACGACATCTGCACAGAAAAGAAAGAAAAAGGCTCACTTCACTTTCATTCACTTTAACAACAGGGCATTAGTAGAGACGAAGACTAAGAAGTAGAAAACTTTATGTTGAGAAATGAAATCACTGGAATTGTATCAATTAAGTAAGGACGAAAGACAGTACATAACAAGATAGTTCACTCAGCCAAAAAAAAGTGTCCGCGGAAGTCCGCTCATTGGTTGAGATGGCGCAGCAGTCTTTGTTTTGAAGTTCTCTTTCGTTTCTCCAGAAGAAGAATAGAAATAGCACAGTTTGTTAGTTTCGCTTTATTTTTATAGTTTTTCACACAAGTAGGGTAACTCTGTTCGCAAAGTCCGCACTTTTTTTAACGGGCGTCACCGGATTTTGAGGACACTTTTTGAACTGGCTCAAAGAGGAGGAGCGAACTATCTTATTATACACGATCTTTGGTAGGGACTTGTGCATGCAACTTCGAGGCCGGCTCCTGTCATCCTTTTGCAGCACCACCAAGCGCCACCGTGATATGAAACAAAAGAAATGAAAGAAAGCCACAACTGCAGGTCAGCTTGACCCACACACAAGACTCTCCTCACACACAGACGGATATCCATTCTCATTCTCATCATCCCACTAGTAAAGTACGAATAAGTTCACAACTGACCATGCACAAGTCACATGATCACATGGCTATGCACAAGTCAAATGATCAGATGGCTATGCACAAGTCATATGATCAAATGGCCATGGACAAGTCATATGATCAGATGGCTATGCACAAGTCAAATGATCAGATATCACTCAAATGCTATAAATAAGTAAGAAAGTAACTACTCTGTAATATTCAGGATGACAAATGTGCAAGCTAGGAGTAATAGGCACAACTTTCTGCGACAGGTTTAATCACCAGCCTGCTTATAATAATTAAAATCAGAAATATTATTTTACAAATTAGCCCTTACAAACACTGTAAAGCTAGAGAGGGCCCCAAAGTATTCAACCTGCCTACAGAACAGACTCATCTACTGCCAGGGTAAATAAATGCCTTTATCAACTGTGTTGTGACAAACAACATCAGATCAGAAGTGTGAGAGAGAACATCATGAACCGACAGCAAGATTGTACCGGCACACAGTTCAGGTTTGTCTTTCAATCTACAAAAATGTGACAAAATCTTACTCAGTATACAGGTAAAGTAACCTCACCCCAACCCCGCCCTTTTCATCGCTCCCTCCCTCTCCCCTCCTCTGCATGAAAAAGAAAAATTAAAACAGACAAAACAATATAAATGGGGCTTGGGGGAATGACAATATGGAACTAAAACAACACCAGCAACAGGAATACAGGTCAGGGGGAAAAAAAAAAGATGGGAAGTACAGTGCAGCCTCTCTATAACGACCTTCGATATGACGACATCTTCTGTGTAGCAACATGGTGCCCAGTTCAAGATTTTTTCCTCATACATCATTAGTAACTTTCGGTTGCCTCTCTAAAAACGACAACTCTCTATAACAACATTTTTGTCTGGTCGCGACAATGTCGTTATAGAGAGACTGCACTGTAAACTAATGCGCCTCTACATGTTGAAGTCCACGCCACTGTCTCGACTATCCACACCTACAACTACAAAATTCGACCAAATCAAAACTTGTGCAATAATGCCGGACTACAAAATTTGTGCTGTAGAACTTTTTCAGTCCTGACTGAACTTATCACTAGAAACAACTACCTGTCTATTTGTCTACAAGGTTGGGATCATCGCAGACTGTACATGTCCTGGACTGTCGTCACCTGACAAAACGACTTTTTTCTTCAGAGCAGTTTCGAGAAAAAAAGACCTTTCGTCAAGGTAATCATTTAAAAACAGTACAGTCATTCCGAAATTTGAATTCTAATTTATTTTTTAAAAACTAGACGCCGTTTCAATTTTGTTTTTTCACACAAGTAGGGTAACTGATCAGGCTTTCGATTTAGCAAATAAAAAATGTTGGTGCCAAAATGAAAAAATGCATTTTGTCAGCTTACGGCACAGCAGCTCCCCCATTCTCCTTAGGATCCACCCTCAAAGTCCATTTGATCTGCTTATTCTCCCAGTAAGAATCTAGTTGGAGATCCGTGGCGCAGGACCACACAGGTTGTTGAATCTTCCTGTTTCCTCGCAGCTCTCCTTCTTCAAATAAGCACAACCACACATGAAGACGCCTGCTTCTGTTTCACAGATTCTCAGTAGAATGTTCCTGCCGGTTACAAGCATCCATATGGAACCACACTGTGTTCTGGCAGCTGTGCTAAAACAGACATTGACATTTTACGCCAGGCAAAAAGCAGAGTTCCCTTGTTATATATATATCTCAAGCACTTCTGATGTATCCAAACAGTGTCCATCTTGCAAACATTGCAGCCTACACGGAAAACTGAAGGGCCTGTCGAAAATGTTTCTAACTGCTCTCCACAAGTTAAAAAAAACAACAACTAAAAGAGGCATATAATAAAATAATATGTTCAACTACCACTATAACACGAGGAAAATGTCAAACTGAACACCGCTTTTTTTTTTTTTAAACAGACGAGAGTGGGGTATTGCAAAATTAAGTCCAACATGCTCTAACGGCCAGGTATTTAAGACAACCACCTGTTTGCTCCAACGGCCAGGTATTTCAGACAAGCACCTGTTTGCTCTAACGGCCAGGTCTTTAAGACAACCACCTGTTTGCTCTAACGGCCAGGTCTTTAAGACAACCACCTGTTTGCTCTGACAGCCAGGTATTTAAGACAACCACCTGTTTGCTCTGACAGCCAGGTATTTAAGACAACCACCTGTTTGCTCCGACAGCCAGGTATTTAAGACAACCACCTGTTTGCTCTGACAACCAGGTATTTAAGACAACCACCTGTTTGCTCTAACGGCCAGGTCTTTAAGACAACCACCTGTTTGCTCTAACGGCCAGGTATTTAAGACAACCACCTGTACAAATAACCACTTCTCACTTCCCGTTTTGCTTTTCTTTCTTCTAAATATTCAATATTACAATAACACTGTCCAAGATTCCGCTGGTCTAAGACAACCACATTTCTCCTCAACAATGGGGGGTTATCTTGGGCAAATTCGTCTGTATTGAAACAGACAAAGAAACAATTTCGAGTAAATCTTTTGTTTTAGTTAAGAGTTTTACGGCACTTGCAACACAATTAGGTGATATAAGTGCTGAAGATTAGAGGTGTTACAAGAGAGTAAAAACCATTTTAAAAAGAAGGAGGGGAGATAAGGACGATAGATGTTTGATAGGAAAGAAGAAGAAGCAAACCACACCAGAGCACCCGCCAACCACCCACTTCCCATAACTTGTTTGTCACAGCTCCCATCACCGTACCCTCCTCATCTGTCAAGAGCATTCCCCTCTAGCCATCGATACACACACAACCACAAGAACAGAGGCTATTTAAAATACAATTGTACCCCTATATATATATACAGAAATATGCTTTACCAGCTTGCAATTTGTCTTCACATCAAATGAATAAAGTCCCCACCTGCTTACCAGTCCATGAAATTCTTCTGCCTCTAGCAAGCAACAAGGAATTCCATCACTGATATTATATGTATATACATACGATAGACCGAAACAATAGGGGCCAAACACTCGATTGATAGATCACTGATGCTACTATTCTCAAATAAATAATAGCGACAAAAAACCCCAAAAAACCGGCAACAACAAAAAAGGAAAATCTCTACAAAATGTACACGTCATAAACGGAACGTGATCTCTTCAATTAGAACAGTAAGCTTCCGTTGTAACCAATCAGGTAAAAGCCTTGAGTAAAATGAACAGAAACCCCCTGCAAACACTGACCCAGCAAACACTGATAAACAATTTCTTAGAAACAATTCAAAACAGGAGGCGCTGAAATCTTAAGTGGGGAAGACGTCCAAGAACTAAACACCCAACAAAAATAAGGAAAGGGGGGGGGGAGAAAAAATACAATTCCTTCCACTATAATTTCCTGTTCATACAAAAGTATTTAATAAATTGGTAACAGAGACTAAAATAACAATAGGATAGATAGATGTCTTTCTTCCGGTAGGTTCTGTGGGGAGGGGGGGTTAAAACAAGAAATAGATCCGATTCTGCATATTGATTAGACGTGTAGAGTTCCATTCAGCCCTTTCAATGACACGGTGAACAAACTGGTGAGTGCTCCCGGTTCTCGCAGACCTCAGGATTCTGGAAGAAAATAAATTGAGAACATAAATTTTAAATGTCAATATGACAGATTCTTAAAAAATTTTCTCAAAGTTTTTGTCTTTTTATATATAACGTAAAAAAAACAACAACTTGTAAAACACAGAATATGTCTTAGTGAAGGCGGAGTTCTCTTTTTGTTTGATAGTTTGGGGGTTTTTTTGTTGTCTGTTTTGTTTGTTTGTTTGTTTGTTTGTTGTTGTTGTTTTTTTTTGGGGGGGGGGGGGGTTGGCATAAATGCTTTTTATGCCCCGATCTACACAATTTAAATCATTAAGAAGGCATGCTCTGTCAGAGCCACCCAGGCTGAGAGAGACACAACATCCCAGCAGAAAGACCAAGATACTCAATAAAAATTCTCCGTACTCAGGAATCGAAATTGGGCCCTCTGTGTGCGAAAGCAAAGCACCTGACCCCTACACTATAGGCCGCAGAGAGTTCTGTCTCATGATGGATATTGATATGAGAGGAAAGACTAGGAAGAGAGAGGGAAAAAATAAAAGCGCTCTCAGATTTGAAAGTGTGTTATAAAAGCCGACTTACAAACAAATATCATTTTGCGAAAGGAAAATGAGGAGCAGACACATCATAAATAAACTTTGGAAAGACTTGACAAAAGCACATGGTGAAGATTGCTTGGTGATGACAGGTGTCATGGGGAGTGGGGGTGTCAGGATTCTTGTTGCAAGAACAAAGACAAAAAGTTTGAGATTTAAAATCCTTCATCTCGAAGAAACATTACAGGTCATTTCTGTAAGTCCTGATGTCCCTAGAAATGAGTACATAGATTACAGTGATTCCCCATTGTGAAAACATCATGCTATACGTAGTAACTACCGTAGTATCAGGGAGATTTACAATAAGGTTAATATATGCACGTCGTGAAATGGTGGGCCAGGGTGAGGGTTGTGTTGCTGCAGTATTCACAACGTGAGAACACAGTGATACCAACTAGGACGTAAAGAGACGTACGGACATCTAGCAAATGCTCGACACATCTTAAATATCTAAAATAGACCGCTATTATGAAAACACATAGAGCCTTGCGGAACTAACAAGTAAAACGATATTAAATTTACAAGACTAGTTCATTATCTTACAATATCACTGTATCAAACAATAACTTCTCATGTCCCAATTTAGTCTACCATCCCCTTAATGAACAATTTTTCAAGGATGAATGAAGTTTACTTACTGAACAGTAATATTGACTAGCACTAGATAGAGAAATATTGCTGCATTGAGACACACACTGCATCTTTTGTTTGTTTTGGTGAGTGTTTTACTGTGCTCCCAACTGCATTAAGGTCATATGAGCGTGTCACACTAAATCTCTTGTTTGTTTTGAAAAGTGTTTTACGGCGCTCCCAACTGCATATGGTCATACGAGCGTGTCACACCACATCATATCACAAAACACATCTACCGATATGTCAACATATATAGATATCAAGAACTACTACAACAGTAAGCAACCTACTAATAAAATAAACCAATACCGTTCACACAGCACAACCCCCCCCCCCACACACACACATTGTTATATGCACATAGCAACATCTGTGTTCAGAGCGTCCAAGAAGCAAAAACTAAACTGACAAACACTACCCTGACAGCAACACCCACAATGCAAACAGGAAAAGTAGTCAGAAGTAAGGATGCTAGTCGTGGAGACGAGAAGTTAGAGGTTCATGCCACCATTTCCAGAAAAGTTCAGCTCGTCTCAGATGATAATAGTTGTAAAGTGCATACAGCATGCTGTCATGTAAAGCATGGATACGCGCTACATAAATGCAATTATTATTATTATTATTATTATCATTATTATTACTATTATTAATATCTTTATTATCATTATCTTTATTACCTTTATTATCGCCAATATCTCAAAATAAGAACTTAATTAAGAATCAAACAGCTTTGAAAAAGCTACTTGCAAAGCAGGAGACACACAGGGCACACATAAGCTCATTTCAATATCTGTCTATAATATAACAATCACTGTCCATGATTGATGAAGACTTTTTGTACTTCTGGATTCCTAAATACACGCTTTGAAAGGTATCAAAATGAAGTTCAAAGCACTAAGAATCTACTAGCAAAACAGCTCACAAATAAATATTTATTTATTTCAGATAATGAAACAGAAATTCCCACAACTCCTCATTACAAAACTTACGTAAACTCAAGCCTATCTCCCGCTCAAAATGTTTGCACCAGCAATTTTCATCATCATCATCATTGCCTTTCTCACCCTGAACCAGGGTATAGGCCACGGACAAACGCTTTCCACCCTTCTCTATCCTGGGCTAGCCTCTTGATGTTATTCCACGTCTTCCCACTTCTCCCATCAATTTTACATCAATACAAAAGTTCGTCTCTCAACATTTATAAAGTCTTGGTTTTAATTCCCAGCCCAGAAAACCTCATTTTGACCCGTCCTAAAGCATCGTCCTGGTTTCACTTCACTACCTTTGAGTGGCCACGGCTGTTCACTCTTCACAACGGCTAGCATAGCATCCAACTCTCTCTCAAACTCGTCGGGAGGGCGCAAGTCTGCAGGGAATGGCAACAAGGAGAGGTGCGGGGCGGAGGGGGAAGTTGTAGCATTCAAGTCAGGGAGATTTGGTTAGGGCAACTTGGGAGATGGGAGAGTCATCAAATTGGGAATTATGAGTATATGAATATATATTTATATATATATCGTGACCTCAGTGCTTTCTAGTCATATCTCCATTTTTAACCCTATTTGTACATCGTGTTTTACTATCGTATCCATACGACGTGGGGAACTCAGTGCCACCACTTTCCAAAGAGGAAATTTACTTGTTAATTCGATCTGTACGCTTTGCATAGCAATCTGTCAAAATGATTTTTTGAGAAATACTGAAAGTTTCAAAGAGATCTTTGTACTAGAAGTATTCTAAAATGTGAAGAATACAACCTCGGGGGTACAAAAATGACCCTAGGGCGTACGGATAGGGTTAATAACAGTGAAAACAGTTCAAAACAAAGAGTGAACTTAATTAAGAAGAAGTCACATTTTCAATATCTTAAAAAAATGGAGATAGGACAGGAAAGCACTGAGGTCGCGATATGGCGGAAAGGTGTGTGGTACAGCCCACAACAAAAATGAACATGTGAGATGTCTGACATTTTCCCTTCTTACCCTTTCCAGTACTTATCCATGTATTATCAGAAAAAAGCTAACATTCAATTTCAGCTTTCCCCCCAGGCCACTGACCCGAATGTAACCTTAAGACACTCAAAGTTAATAGAGGTGTTACAAGAGAGTAACAAACACAAAAAAGAATGAGGGGAGATAGGGACGATAGATTTTTTATAGGAAAGAAGGATCGAGCAAACCACACCAGAGCACCTGCCAACCACCCATGTCGCTTCTCCTTTCTGTTTGCCCCATTCCATGAAATCCCTCTGGATCCCTCAAACAGCTGTCAGCTGGTAATGTATATAATTATACAAAAAAATGTTTCATCTTTTGAAATAATGCAGTAGGAGTAAAGCCAAAGAATACAAACAGGATTAAGAAATCCAGCAGCATTTTTATATTGTGCGCTGTACACAACCTTTCTTGTCAATATTCTGTTTCAGGCAATTTCTATTGATCAACAGGACATAAACTTCAGAAATTCTCGTCAGTAAAACATGCAGTAATGTGGACACCCATGCCTCATAAAAATACTTCATGAATATATGATCAAAGAGAGAGGGGAATGAAAAGTGTGATCTCTCTATACAAGGGTATTAAAAGATATAGAAGCAAATGAATGCTGAGGGGAGATGAAAAGCCTCACCCACTCATCCACCCACACACACACCCACACACCCCCCCCCCCACACACACACACACACTCATACTCACGTCTGTTGTCATACCGTATTACAGGAAGAGGTGAATTAGATGTCCAGCAAACAGCTTGTCAGCACTTTCCCACAACAAAGAAAAAAAGAAAGCAGAAATAAATGTAAAAAAGAACTTTTAAAGAAACAAAACTTATCAAGACTTTTCATATACCTTGGGTAGCTGTACATATTTCATCACCGTCATTCATCATTTTTGTTTGTCAAAATTCAGGATAAGCAAAAATCAGTCGTTCTATTTTTGGTATAAATTATGTTATTACAAAATGTTTAAGTCGTCTAAATCCTCGTTACTATTTTAAGAACAGGAATGAGACTATGACCAATCGCTGCGTTCTATCAAACTCTACAACATACCTGATTTTCCATTTTTATAAACTTTTTATAAACTGCAATGTTGAATGACGGCAAAAGATTTATATATACAATTCAGATCTAGGATCATTATGATTGTAGTGTAAAGCCTTTATTTTTTTTTTGGGGGGGGGGGGGGGGGGGTGTGAAGGTGAAAGGGGTCAGGTGCAGAGTAACTGTCAATCACAAGAAAAGAAAAAGTATTTAAAAAATAAACAATATGACTGTGCAAATAGTCAGGCAGCACGGACGGGGATATTTCAAACACATGCACCACGCAGAATTGTTCAAAGCAACAAGCTGAACTCTATAAAGAGGTGGGAAAGCATTTAACAGAGTAAAAATATTCTAAGAAATAACAAAACAGTGTGAGAATTTTTTGGGCGGACATGATATCAAAAGATTATAACCATAAGAGCTCATATCTAAGAATAAAATTTTAATTTCTGGAACTAAAATGCCCTTTTCAACAAACTGAAATTTGAAAAAGGAACAAAGTCTTTCAAACTGTGCACAAGAAATTAAGTGACAGCAAAATTTGCACCTATCTGTAAACAGCTATGAGAGACAACAACACTGTTACAAAACTTCAGAGGAAGCAACTTTGAACGTGGAGTGCCAAGTGCAGTTTTTTTTTTTATTTGTAGGCGTGAATTCGAAACAAAAACGACGGAGGAAAATTCCCAAGCTTATTACTTGAACCACTTTAAACTCAGAATTATGAAATCATATTGTCTATCCGCTTTCATACAATCTCCAAAAACAGTTGAACTCATCCAGCAAACCTATTTGAGTAATCATGACATGTTCTATTATTTTCCTCCGTCTGTAAGAAGGGGTCATGCGTTAATAGATCTTGGAAATATTTCAGAAAAAGTAACAGCTGTCAAAAAGTGAAAAATGAAAACTCTCGAGTTTCCTTTGACTCTTAATTTACATTTAAACGTTTCAGCCTCATTAAACAAATACAATGAAAAAAACAAAAACAATACATGTATAATTTCTTATAATTATTACAACCACTTAAAGACATCAGCTACCCTAGAAGACACTTTAACTACAGGTATTTTTAAAAAGACATTTCTGTTGCCACTGTAAATTTTGCTTCAGCTCCCGTATCACCGCTGTTTGGAAGCACACACAAAAAATGCTCACACAAATAGTAACTACGTTTTTAATGAAACCCTACTGACAGCAAGTCCTCGAGTAGTACAAAGCTACAGGGCTATGTTCACCACACACACCATGCATCACCTAGGACTTCATGCAGACAGCACATGCTTTGGATTCTGTCTTTCTTGTATTTGTTTGTTTTAGTAGAGGTTTTACGGCGCTCGCAACTGCATAAGGTCATATGAGCGCCAGAAGATTAGAGGTGTTACAAGAGAGTAACAAACACAAAATAGAAGGAGGGGAGATAAGGACAATAGATGTTTGATAGGAAAGAAGAAGCAAACCACACCAGAGCACCCGCCAACCACCCACTTTCTTGTATTTGTTGGTTTTTTTCTCACACACGACAACAAAGAAATAATACGTGCACTTTCAGTATGTAACTGGGAAATCCTTTGATGTTGTGCTATTTCTCTAGTTATTTCTGCACCACTGGTTTTCTATAAGAAAATGGCAAAAACTGAACCTGGTGTCAAGCTCATACAGACTTCAACATAAGTTAAGGACCACCTTGACAGACGGCTCTGATTTTTTTAAAATTCGAGAAAAAAACACAGCAAGGAATGTTTCAAAATGTTTTGCTCTGAAAGTGTTAATGGGTCAACAATGCGTACTGCAAAGCTTCCAAATTGAAGCAAAACTACAACATGCAGAACCCAAATCCTGCGGGAATCTTAGTCAAATTTGCAAGTGGTAAGTGGTCCTTATAACTTATGTTGAAGTCTGTATTTGTGTTTCTCCGTATGGTGGTGGTGGTGGTGGTGGTGGTGTGTGTGTGTGTGTGTGT